CATCCTGAACACGCCTTCAGTGTGTCCCAGGGCATGGGTGGGGTGGGGTGGGAATCCTATCCTTCCATTTTCCCTGTTGCCCTTCAGCAGAACCCAGCTCTGGGCACCCTGCCCAGAGTGGAGGGGAAGGGGAAGACGCATGACCTTCACTTCAGCCTGAGCAGCTTCAACAAAAGCACCAGCGGCAACGGCAGGCGAGCTGAGGATGTGTCAGCTGCGCCCTGGAGACGGACCAGCCTCGGGCCAGTTTAGGCTCCACCACTGTTGTGCGTGGGTGTGGCTGTGGCTATTACGACCTCTCTGGGCCCCAGCTTTCTCTTCTATCGAGTGGGCTCACACCTGCTCTGTCCCTCTCCTGGGCGTGCAGAGGACTAAAAAGTAATGACAAGGAATGTGAGGTCGCTGAGTGGCACCAGGATCTCAGGCCAGGGACACTGTTCAGGCTCTTGCTCTTCCGGTGCCTGAGGAAGTCTCCCCGAAGTCTGGCCTAATTCGTAGGCCTGGGCACACTAGGTCCTGGCCCAGGAGGGATCCCTGACCTGGTACCAACCCGTTTGCTGTACTGAAGGATGCCCCGCTCTGGCTCTGAGATGTCCCCCTCTACCAGGTCCTCAGGGATCTGAAGCTCTTTTTAAGGGAACAGCTCAGCTCCAACAGTGCCTAGGGCCGCCAACACCGTTGGTCAGCTACTGCCACCAAAGCGTGGCCAGCCAGCTCAGAGACCCCAGGACAGCTGGCCACTCGGCAGGTAAAAGGGTGAGCAATTGGGAAGTAGGGGGCTCCCAGTCACCAATCACATGCCAGACACCTTTCTGCTTCCTCCCACTCACCCTCCGAACGGCCCATTGCAGTGGGGGTTATGCTGCCATGTTGTGAATGGAAGACTCACAGAGGTGAAGCGAGCAGTTAATGAAGCAGGCGGAAACTCAGCTCCCAAGTGCCCCCAGGCAGTGTGTCTGGTGTGCCGGCCTCCACGCTCCCAAGCCCTCCATCACGCATGGATGGCCTCCACATCAAAAACCTAACAGATAGCCGTATCCTTGGCCAACTGGCCAGAGGTCCACCTTGCTCATCGGTGTCTCCACAGATCTCAGGATGCCTTGCTCTTTTGCCAGGACCCCGTGGCCTGGGGCCAGTGTCCCGCTGGCTGGGCACAATTCTGAGAAGACTCAGCCAGAGGGAGGAGAAGGCTCCTGTCTCCGGGGTCACCTTCCTTGGCGAGGCCACTCAGTCATGGGGAGGGCAGGCTTGGCTTCTGGCTGGAAGCTGGCCTGACCTCTCTGCCTCTGATCCTCTGAGGCTGCCAGAGGCCCCGACTTGGCATCAACAAGGGTCTGCAGGTGGCACAGGGCTGTGCCGTACCTCAGCCACCCCAGCTCAGCTCTTCAGAGCCTGCCTCCCGGGTGCTCGTGCGAAACAGCAGAGTGGAAAGTGAGAAAAGCAGGAGGAGGGAGCCCAGGACACTTGGATCCTGGTTTTCTAATTGGGCCCAGGCTTCAGGTTCTTTTCGGAGCATTACTAATCACGAGGAGGCCGGAGGTGACAGTGGGATACCCCCTCCCCCTGCCTCTGCGGGTTCCAGTACCAGCCCCAGGCACGCTGGGAAGGACCGTGGCAGCTTGGGTACCTACCCTGCCCTAGAAACACAGGACAGAAAGTTCTGGCCACTGGTGCTCTTCTAAAGAGCCACCCTTGGTTGGTCCAGAGCAATCCAGACAGATCTAGAACAAGGACACAGCATACCTCCTGAGCTGCCCGTGTCATGTTCTCACCTCAACTCCCCCACTACCCTGTTTTGCAGAAGTTGCACCAGCCACCTCGTGGGCAAGAACGAGGGGCCCGCTGCACACCACCCATGTTGACCTGTGAGTGAGCTGCAAAAGCCACTGCTCTCCCGGAGAGGGAAGAGGAGGGAATGTCCGGCAAAACAATGCCCTAAAAGCTGCCGGTCTCACCTGAAGCTGAGTGCTTCCCCTAAGCGCTTACATTACAGCCTTCCCAGGGCGAGACTGCCCGTGGCCCTGAATGCTCTGCAGCCTCCCTGCACCCCGGACACTCTGTGCAAAGAGCTCCCAGCACTTTACGCCCATTATCTCTACAGTTCTTTCACCAGCTCCTTCCCAGGAAGAACCAGGGTGGAGAGTCCATGGGATTCGAGAGTCAGTGGGGAGGATCCAGGCCTGCAGGCAGGTCTGCTGTGCTTACGGTGTGGAAATCATGTTAAATGTCACAGGTGGTTGAGGAGGGGGAAGGGAAGTCCTCAAGGGCCAAAACACAACATGAACTGGGCTGGGGAAGGATGGCCTGCCTGCCAAACCTAGCAGGGTGCTCTAGACTGGCCATGGCGGGGAGACGGCAGCCTCCGCAGAGGGATTGGCCACATTTCCCCCATCGAGGCCGGAAACAGATGGCTTCAATCTAGACCAGAGTCTCCAGGAATAACATTTCCCATCTGCAATAAACACTTGACATGTGTCCAAAGCCCTCCCACCCATCAGGGGAAAGTGTTTTCATGTTTTCAGGTAGGGAAACTTGGAGGGCAGAGTGCCAGCTAATAGGGGCTCTGGTCCAGAAGCAGGTACTATGTTCTGTAAGTGGTTGTCCTCCCACTACCTGAGGGCCTCTCCAAGGCCTGCCTCTGCCTCTGCCTCTGCCTCTGCTTCTGCCAACCAGGAGGGATCACCACCAGTTTTCCTGGGTCATGGGGCAGTGGCCTTCCTCCTGGAGAAGGGCTAGAAGGGACCCTTGGGGGGCAGAGGAGCCAGACACACGGTGGGTACTCCTCTCTCTGGCATTGTACTGTCACTCCACGGGCAGCTAGCTGTGATCTGGGAACCCCATCCCCTCCCACAGGCCACCCCAGTGATTACTCGTGGTCATCATGTAGCCCAGGGCATGTGATGGAATCACCAGGGGCCAGCTTTCAGGGGCTCTGTGCTCAGAGGGTGTGTCTGAAAAGCATCAACTCATGCACCAGGCACATGGTAACTGTTTTGCTCAGAATCACGGACTTCGCATCCTGTGATGCTGTCAGAGGGATAACTGAAGTCCCTCTGCCCGTGGGCCCCCTCAGTGGCTGTGATCACAGCTGCTGGCACCAGGGCAGGAGAAATAGCTGCTCTTGGCTCCGAGAGGCCCACAGAATTTGTGTGTCCACTCTGGGTGCACGATGGGTAACCAGGTAACCAAGAGACTTTGGCTCCCCTCTTCAAGTTGCTTCTTTCCTAAGAAATCTGAAAACACATCTCAATGGAGGAGAAGATGCTGGAGCTGTCCCCTACCACTGACACCCCCCTCCCATAAGGAGGCACTCACAGCCTCACCTCACCGGGGCAGGGGCTGAAGGTGGAGAGGAGGAGAGAGGAAGGGGCCTCATCCAGTCCGCCCTGCGATGGGCCGGGGGAGTCAGCAGACCTGGGTGCAGGTAAGAGCCCTGGAGCAACTCGCTGCACCCTCTGTGCCTCAGCTTCCTCACCTGTACAGTGACACTGCCTTGCTCCAGCTCTAAAATAAAATACAGCTCTCTGCCCGCCTCAGTTTCCCCCCAGAGAAAGGCATCTGCACCAGGGAGAAGGAGGGTGAATTCACAAGGTGAATTCAGGAAAAGTTCACCTCCAAGGGCAACAGATCCTATGCAGTCCATTTCTCCGGGGGACAGGAGTTGGGGAGGGAGCAAGGTTGAGATCCACGGGGTGGTGGTGGGGTTGACGCTGAGAGAAGGTGGACTCAGTTCCCCCAGCTCTTCTCCAGGGAGAGGAGGGCTGTTAACGGAGAACGTCCAATCTGCCTGTCCCCCGTCCTTCCCACAGCAGCCTGGGAACTTCCAATTGGCTTTCATCAAGGCTGGCACACGAGACTGAAGCCCAGAACTGGGCTGCCCCTTCCGGCCTTCCTCTCCTGGAAGCCAACTCTCATTCTCTCCCTGAGCCCACAAGCAGAGCAGGGGCCCGTAGCTCCGCTACTTAGATGACTGTTTTTCATGAGTAATTTTTCCCTGTCCTCATACAATTCTGATCCCTGCAATGTTCACAGCCATGACACTCTGGAGACTCCACAGGAGTTATATCTCCCTCCATTCTCAGGAATGAGGAAAGGGGGCACTGGGGGTGGGGGGTGTCCACCCCACATTGGAACGGAGGCCTACAGAGTAAGCTCAGCCCCTGCCGCTCCAGAGAGCTTCAGGGCAAGGCAGTGCCTGGGAGGCCAGCTCTGCAGGACCTGCTGAGTGACCTTGGTGAAGCCACAGCACCCCTGGGCCTCAGTTTCCCCAGGTCCATCATACAGATCCAAAGTTTCTCTCTCAAGGCCAAGGTGAGGATGAACGCAAGAACCTTTCTGTGAAAGCATATGAGAAAAGGTGCCATATTTTGCCCCTGAGAGCCCAGAAGTCCCGCCCACTCAGCACAGAATGAGACCGACCCACCCCCACCCCACCCCACCCCCGCCAACTGCAGCGCAGCCGTGACGCTGCCATAAGTCATAACCGCGTTGTAGACTGCGGGGGAGAGCGCGCCCCTCCCATGCCAGCCCAGTGAGTGGGAGGCACAGCCCCAGGGAATCCCTGCATGGGGGTGGTCCAGAGAGGTAACCAACAGGCAGACAGAGGGGGACCCCAGGCAAGCCTCCTGCCCACCCACCCCACCCCCCCGACCCAATGAATACGGTCGACCAAGCCACGGCCCTTCCCGGTAGGCGGCTCCTTCCACCCTGCCCTGGGTCCACGCTGGGGGAGAGCCGGCGAGGCCACGGAGTGTGGCGCAGTCTCCCCCGCCCCCATCCCTCCCAGTCCGAGGTCCCGGAAAGCGTAGAGCAAGCAGTCCTGCCCCACCCCCTCCCCTGTCCAGGACCCGGATTGTGCGCCCCTTCTTCCAGCCGGGAAGACCAGTTCCAGCTGATACCACCCGCTTGCTCACCACGTCTGCGCCCTCGGCGCCACGGCCCCAGCGCCAGGAAAGGTACGCAGGCCGCCGGGATGCGGTGACGGGCAACACGCTCCCTACCTGGGAGGAGACTGCCAGTCGGTCCTCCTCCTCGCGGGCCTAGTGAAGCCAGCCCCACCTGGCAAGGGACTGTCAGCAAATTCCCCGCTGCATCACCATGGGAGCGGCATCCCGGCCCCTCCCAGGCAGAAGCCAACCTTGGCCCCGCCCCAATGCTGCTTGACCCGCGAGGGAACCCAGGCTGGATTTTCATATGCAAAGACCCAGGCTCCGCCTTAGAGACTTTGTAGCTACCAGGAACCATCAGCAAATTACCATCGCAAATCTACAAGGCTGGCAGTCCCTTGCTGTAGACACTCCAGCTCCCTCCGAAGCTCTGGGCCCTGGCAGGCGTCCTGCTGCCCTCTGCCCACCCTACAGCCTTCACCCCCACTTCAAGCTCTCCTTTGAGGCTAGTGCCCCTTTCAACCCACCCAACCCCGCCAGCCAAAGCGAGAAAAGACAACCGCACAAAGGTAACAGCGCTTAGCCCCGCCCAGGGACCAGCTCCTGGCACCGGCCCAGTGATTGGTTCCTTCTTGCCCAGCAAAGGGAAGATCTACAAATTGACCACAGCCCTGTCCAGGAGGCCCAAGAGGGTGGGCTGGGTCATTTCCAGTTTGCCATGGGCCACAGTCCTGTAGGTCTCCAGTTTCTTCAAAGTCCTGGCTACTCTGCTGGAGACACTAGGTTTGGCTCTGGGGGCAGGTGCCAGTGTTCGAACCCCCAAAGATCAGTATACAAACTAAGGGGCAGTAGTAAACAGCCACTCTCCTCTCTCCCAGGAAGGGGCCTAAGCATGTTTATTTAATAGACTTTACGAGAGAGGCAGGCTGCTGACCAACCTTTGAAAGTGACTCTCTTTTAACAGTTCTGTAATGGTAAGATATTGACAGAGTTGTTAGCAATGTGCTAAGAAGGCCACAGAGTAATCAGTGTGAATCTAAGGTCATGAGACACTGACAGGAGGGTCAAAGGGTAGCTAGGCTTTCAGGGGTTGGCTCCCCATAACCAGCAGCACCGCGCTCCCTCCAGGCTGGCGCACCCTGGTCATCTCTCTCCCTCCCCTGCACCTGCCCCTGCCCCCTCACCCCCTGGTTCTTCTGACCCAGCAGTGCCATGAAAACCCAAAGTGAGCCACTAGGCATTCTGCTGAGATCCGTCCATTTCTTCGCTCCCTCGCCCATTCGTTTATTCATTCGTTCAAGGACTAGGAAGGCTTTTGGTTGTCTATCATGCAATGGCAACAGGGTATCAAGGGTCTGGGTTCTAGCCTGGGCTCAGCTGCTAGTGTGCTTTGCAATCTTGGATAACTTGCTTGATCTGTCTTTCTTTCTTTTTCCCTCTCATCTGTAATACTGAGAGAGCTGGGCTAGTTGGGGTTTAAGGCCCCTCTGGCCCTAACATTTCTATTCCTCTCTTCTAGGATAAAGTCTGGTGGGAACAAATATAAACAAGTTAAGTACAAAAGTAATGTTTAAGAACTCTAGCTGCCCAGATTCCAGTCCCAGCTGGGCCATCTAAATATGGGACTTAACCTTTCTGAGCTTCATTCTTTGCATATGCAAAATGGCGGGAATAATAATAACAACCTTAAAGGGTAGTTGTGAGGATTAAATGAGATATTGTATACAAAGTAGATGCTCAATAAATGTTTTTATTTTTGCTGTCGTTGTTATGGTACTGGTGGGAGAGAGTAAAACCTGGACAAAAGCAACTTGTCCTCCTCTCTGCTTCCTCACTACAGAACTAGTGTCTAACTCCAGGGTGGGAGGATTAAGCGTCTTATGTATGAGGGTAATAGCCGTTCCTTTAGAAAGACCCTGTGTTAAGTGGAAAGAACATGGTCTTTGGATCCAGTTGAAACTTGGTTCAAGTCTGGGCTCGGGGCTTCCCTGGTGGCACAGTGGTTGAGAGTCCGCCTGCCAATGCAGGGGACACGGGTTCGTGCCCCGGTCCGGGAAGATCCCACATGCCGCGGAGCGGCTGGGCCCGTGAGCTGTGGCCGCTGAGCCTGCGCGTCCGGAGCGTGTGCTCCGCAACGGGAGAGGCCACAACAGTGAGAGGCCCGCGTACCAAAAAAAAAAAAAAAAAAAGCTGGGCTCTGCCTCTTACTAGCTGGGTGACTTTGCACTAGTTACTTAGCCACTCTGAAATTAATTTTCACATCTATAAAACGGAGATGGAAATAAAAGGAGTCCAACAGTAGTACCTACCTCATAGAGTCACTGTGAATATAAAATGCATGTAAGGTACTTGGGTCAGTTTTTCACAAACAGAGGCTGGTCAATATTAATCTCTCCCTTCTAGGAAGGACCTAGATAGAATGGAGGGGAGACCCTAGCGCTGAAATTTCTAGGCATCCTTGACTGAGTGTCCTGTGAGAAGACTGGGTAGTGGGTATTCCAGCTCAGACCCAGAGCTGGCATCAGCAGCTCTCCAACCCCCTTTGCCCAGGTGCCATCCACACAGAACCTATGAACCAGCCTCCCTGGATGAGCCCGATCCCTGAACATGCCCTCTGCTGGGAGCTGAGACCAGAATGGGAGGCTGAAAGCAGGTCTTGAAAGGCTTCACACGCGGGGCTCAGGAGTTTAGACTTTGCTCAGCAGGCAAAGGGAGCCGTGGAAAGTTTTTGAACAGCAGCCACAGGATAAAGTTTTTGAGCCAACACCCAACCCACTCCAGTTCCTGGAGGCGAGACCTGATAGGCATCAAGGATGTACAATAAATGGAGACACAGAAAAGCTGGGGGGGGGGAATCCATGGGAATACCAGGTGGGCTGTATGGTGGGACAGTCAGAGAGATGACCCTAACCAACTGAACATCAACGACCTAGACGAGTGTCAGGCTGGTAGAAGGTGCTTTGTCAAGGCGCGAGGGTGTGTGGGAATGAATAGCTGAGTCTTTTGTGAATAGCTGTGGCCTTGAGAGGCTTTCAAAGAAAAGGTGCTTCTGGCCTGTGGGTGCTGAGAACATCGTTCATGTTCTCACTCCTGTGATTAAGGTGGGAGACCTCCGAAAGATGGTGAGTGCTGTCTTCGTGGCTGCTTCCTTAACCTCCAGTGTCTTGTCTGGGATCTTAATCCAGGACAACAACAAAGACACAAAAGTCCTCTGAGCAATCCAAACGGAAGGAACTGCTGTCAAAATCAGATGCTTTTTCTGTAGGAGAGCACCTTGTGTCTTCAGTGACAGCCCACCTGCGTTTATTCTATGCACGGTTTAAACAGATCCAGTGTGGCAGAGTCCGCTAAGTATCCGCTTATGTCCTTTTCCCCCTCTTTTAGCAGTAGAGCTTCCAAGGTTAAAACTTGGTTACATGGCTACCCTACTAGAGACTACATATCCCAGCCTCCCTTGCAGGCAAGTGCAGCAATAGGACTAAGTTATAACCAATGGGATGGGAGTGGAAGTGATCTGTTTCATTTCTGGGCCACATTCTTAAAAGGAAGCTGCCTGCCCTCCAGTTCCTCTTTCCCCTTGTGCAGACTGGACCATGGACAGGGGCGTGGAGGTGGGGACAACTTTGATGATGCTGACAAGGACCTGAGTTTGGCCAATCTACAAGACCTGAGTCTCATGATGACCTGGAGAAGAAGAGCCCTGAACTATTGACACCTTGGTCTATGACAGCAGCTGAACCCATAGCCTGATAAATCTAGTTTCCTGATTTTCAAGCCCACAGTAGACGGAAAAGAGCATATTGGAAGGAGAAAGGACTTACAAAAAGCAAGCACAGTGAAATTAGCAAAAGCCTAGAGCAAGAGGATATAGAACAACTTATATAAACAAGAGGATATAAAACTCAGAGTTTGGGGTCATTTAGTTCAGGGCCATGCCAAAAAGCCTTGGGGGCACCATTGTATTACAAGGTAATGTTGGAAATGCTCAGAATAACAATCTTGAATCATTAAGAGAAGGTTAATTCTGATGGAATATTTTATTTTAAAAGGAAAGCAATTATATGATATGTCTAGGGTGTCTGAAAATGGTTAACATAAAGCTTGTATGCTTAAGGGTAGAAACCTTCAGCATCCATGCAAAATAATACCTTTCCTGATGGGTCAGAAAGTAGAGATTTTGACTCATTGATATATACCTTCTCCCACTGGATTATACATCCTTTTAAGATCAGATTGTATCTCCTTTTTCTTTTTATTCCTAGTGTCTAGCACAGTGCTAACTCAAATAAATATTTTTTAATAACTAAGGGGGTGAAGTCTGTGTTACCTTAGATGCCAGAGCTTAGTAGGGTCCCACCAGCTGATGTGGAATACTGAGCAGTGAAATTGCCTGAGGTCCCAAAACACCCTGGAGAGCTGCAGGGCCACAGCCCTCACAGCCAATGGTGTTAACGAGCCCGTGGTGACCCTACCCCTGTTGTCTAGAAATCATTTCATCAGAAACACTCCCCTGAGCTCACAAGACCAACATGCACAGGATTTTCATTGCAGAACTGGTTGTAATTCCAAAAACAAACACAGCTGTACACAGGCTACACAACGGCGCATGGCCTTTCTTCACTGTCCAGGGGAGATGTTCAGGAAAATTCAAAATAAGAGGGAAAAAAGCGGGAGGTCCAGGAAAGGGCCAGCTAGGTGTGCCCACTGCTTGTTTCACATCATTTCGATGGCTTCGAGGCATGAGAGATACACTAGTGTCCCCATCACCCTAAAGCCCAGTGCTAGTCACCTAGCTAAGTAGGGGGTAAGAAAGGGGGCGGCAGGTCTGGAGGCCCTGAGCGTCTGCAGATTTTGCTCTGGGATCTAGAAATAAACGTATGCCACCGACAGGGACAGTATTTTTCAAGGCAGAACCACATCGCTATTCACACTCTGTGGCGATGCAGATACTCTAGGGCATCCCCTAGCCCCAAGAGCCCAGTCAAAGCTCTCCAAGAACGTGGGTCTATTTTGGGAGCTCAGGCTTCTGTCACACACTCTAACCTGCCTTTCCGAACAGAAGGCAATGTGATCACCTGTTCAGAAAGCAGGCAAGCAATGTACTGGGATTGAATACTGTTTTTTCAGTGTCCTCTATCTAATCAGACATGGGGTTGTGGGTTTTGAGAGACACACAGCACTGACCCCTCACTGGAAGCTGGCACTCCCCAGTCTGGTGGGGCCAGAGTGGAGAAGTCAGGGCCCTCTAACCACATGGTCCTCAGGGCAGAGAACCTAAGCCTCCCTTCCGCTGGGACAGCCCTGGCCTCCCTGCTCTCCCTCACCCATGGCCTCAGGCTGGGTCCCCACTCACCAAGGCCCCCACCAGGTAGATGCTCTTAGCTAGCCGCAGCTTCTTTTACTTCTGTCCTGGAAGAGGGGAAATTCATGACTAGTGGGAGGTCACTGTCATCTACCTCCAAGTCACTACGCATTATCAATATTGGAAACTTCTGGTGGCGCCGGGTCAGAGGTGGATATGGATGACACCACAAAGGAAGCACCGCTGTGTGCTGGAGCTCTGGAGACACATTGGAGAGGGAGAGTTTCCCCATCCAAAACTGAGCTAAACTGAACATTTCCAGGGCAGATCTGGAGGTCTGAAGCCTGCACAGCCTCACCTCAGTTCTGTCTTGAGCCTGGCTGATGCCCTGCAGGATTAGGTTGTTAAAGAATACCTGGGGGGCTTCCCTGGTGGCGCAGTGGCTGAGAGTCCGCCTGCCGATGCAGGGGACACGGGTTCGTGCCCCGGTCCGGGAAGATCCCACATGCCGCGGAGCGGCTGGGCCCGTGAGCCATGGCCGCTGAGCCTGCGCGCCCGGAGCCTGTGCTCCGCAACGGGAGAGGCCACAGCAGTGAGAGGCCCGTGTACCGCAAAAAAAAAAAAAAAAAAAAGAATACTTGGAAACTAAATTATCAGTGGTGAGCATGCCGTAGTATATACTGAAGTAGAAATATAATGTAGACATGAAACATATAATGTTAGAAACCAATGTTACCTCAATAAAAAATAAATACTTGGGTCCTCATGTTGATATTTATTGAGGCTATAGACCACCCCTTACCCCTCAAGCAGATCCTCATAGGGCAGAAATATGGTTTCCCTATTGGATTTCTTCTGGGCTACAAAGTGAGGATCCCGTCTCCATGGCCAGCCTCTTGAAAGCAGCTCTGCTGTACTGTGGGAGTTGGCATTTGTTTCCAGTAATGAACACATTCTTTATTTTATACCTTTATTAACTTGTGAAATATAATACACAGACAGGGAATTCCCTGGTGGTCCAGTGGTTAGGACTCCATGCTCTCACTGCTGAGGGCCCGCATTCAATCCCCGGTCAGGGAGCTAAGAATCCCGCAAGCCACACAGCGCGGCCAAAAAAAATAAAAAGAAGGACATAAGAAAGGTGTATATAAAACAGAAATGAGAGCTATAATGAATAATCATAAAGCAAACACTATGTAACCACTACCCAGGTCAAGAAATAGAATATTATACCAGACATTTTCCTGTGTTGCTACCCAGTCACACCCCTCTCTTCTCCACCTGCCCCCCCACCCACAGATAGCCCTCTCTTGACCTTAATGGTA